AAACCAATTGCGGTGCTCCCGGCTCATGTGGAGTGGTGCCCTATTTAAGTACCTTGTGGCTCATTGGTCCTCACCTTTCTTAGGGGCTTGGGCCTTCCCTTCGGGATGGAAGTGGGGGGGTAGAGGTACCCATACCGGGCCGTTAGGACACGGTGTTTTGCCCTGGTGTCCCGAAGCAAATGTTGCACCCAAGACTTGGGATTTAGAGGGTCCCATGATCAAGTTTTGTGGTACCAAGGGATGTTAGGAATTTGGAGGCTTGGTGTGCTTGGTTGCTTGTGCTTGCGGGGAGTGTAGCCGAACCTTAAATCTAGTCTAACCCAGGGAGGGGGATTGGGAGAGATTTGGGAATCCGTGGATGCATGGTTAATGCTTTGTTGTTTGTGTAGTGAGTAGCTGAAACCAAGTAGAACCAAGTAGGAGCTGGTACAATAGGTGGGAACCTTGGCGAAGGAACTTAGTTAAAGCCAAGGCAGTGTTGGACGGGTAGACAAAGTAAGCTGGCAAATTGGAAAGGAAAAATTTGTGGCTTACAGACATTCCCTCAAAAAGTGTCCTGCTTCACCGCAATTGAAGTTATTTCCCACGCTACTAGCAAACTTGACCTTCTTATCTGTGAGTTTGTCTCTTTTCACTTGACTCCCCCACGTACTTACTCGCTGGCCACCGGATCTGCCTTTACGGAACCCTGATAACTCAGTCTTAGAGAAACTTTTTTTGATTTCCCTTTGCCATATGTCCCCCTTGGTTTAGCACCTTTGCTAAACATGGACCACAACCCCATCATATTCCCCTTTCGCAAATTATTATTGAAATGCACCTTGATAGCCGCATCTAATGCTTCCTTGTAGTTGGTTGGGTTCCAATGCATCACCTTGCCGCGAGCCCAGGTTTACAAACTTGATATGTAGGCATGGAATGCATCCATATCACCCATATCCATGAGAAATATCCTCTTTGCCATAAACCCATTCACATACTCTTGAATGGTCCCAGTCTACTTTAACCTACTCAACTCACCCAACACCTTAGGAACATCACAAACGTATTCCTCCCATGTGCCCTTTGAGTGGATTAAGACATCTTTGATAAAGCCAACAATCATCTCTGGCATATCGCAAAGAACATTATCCATCATTTGCTAGAAAGTTGTTAAAGCATTTATCAAACCAAATGGCATCACTAAGAACTTATACAAACCAAACAATGTATGAAAAACAGTCTTAGAAAGGTCGTCTTCAGCCATCAGTACTTGCTAGTAACCAAAAGCAAGATTTAACTTGATGAACAAGCAACTTTTCCTTAGACAATCAAAGAGATCACTAGTGTGAGGAAGAGAGTACACATTCGGGATCATCACTTCGTTTAATAGATGATAATCAATGCAGAAATAAAAACTTCTATTAGGCTTCATCATAAGATGAGGTTCATAAGCCCAAGGACTTTGCAATTTTTGAATAATACCCTTTTCCATCATCTTTTTAATGTTTGCGTGTAAAATATTGATATTTTTGGGTCACCGACAACGAACAAGAACCTTGATTAGATAAATATCCCTAGTTGAAATAGAATGATGTGTTGCAATCTTAGCCCCAAACAATATGTCAAATTCAAAGACATCGGCATACTCCTTCATGAGCCAATCAACCACTGCAATATAAAAACCATTAAAGATGGAAATATATGAAGAAGTAATGGAAAGATAAAAGTGATGGAAGTAAAGGTAAAAGCAAAAGAATAAAAAAGAACAAAAGTGAAAGGAATGGAAGAGATATAAAGAAATATAAAACAAAAGAGAAAAGCCTCAAACTCACACTTGGCATAATTGTGCCGCAATCAATCTATACCATAGATGAGGTCAAAAGTTTGACTTAGCACTACTCATAATGACTACAACTCAAACTTGAGACCACCCATCCACACAACCAGGCCCGCCTCATCCCGTGCATATATGTGTGTACGGCCATTGCCATAAAGAATGAAAACTGGCTCTGCTAAACAATGCAAATATAGATGGTAATATATAGCAATAGGCCAAGCAATAGAAGATAAACTCAAGCCTATATCAACTAATACGGAAAGAAGAATAAAAGACCTCTTGCTATAAAAACAAGATTGGAAAGTAAACACTGAATGAACTAATGCCAAGTGAACCCCTTGATGTTACTCCCGAAATAAAGATGGAGCGGTCACTGACTTATTTACGCAAGGTCCCTCCACTAAACACATAACTCCTCATTTCCCAGAAGCATCTCGGTGTCTAGACTTTCCACTGTAGCATCATCAACAAGATGTTGTTGACACCAAGGTCCACCCATGAAATGGAAGTTGCAAATCTAGAAAATGCCAGTAATGCCACTAAGTGTGACTAACTTTATCACATGCCCAACAGTGGACATCATAACCACAACCACATCCTCGCCCTTGTCTTTAAACTTGAGTAGCAACAGCATTAACATCCATTAGAATAGGATCATTTCCCATAGAAAGTGGAGCTAAAGGATGTGTAATGAGATATGGAAGAAGCGACATTTTATAACATTATGCCAAGCAAAAAGCATCATCAATGGTGGCAAGAGTAAGTGCATGTATAAGTTTTACAAGATTTTGACAAAGTGTTAGCCACAACATTCCTAACTTGATCCGCTCCAACATATTTGGCTCCGCACAAAATAAAAGGCTTAAAAAACAAATGCCAAATTGCATTATGGATTCAAATGGCCCTTGACGAAGATGATGTAATTGTTGAAAGGCATCATCACCATCATCGGCATATCCAAATATGCATTTGAAGACATCTACAAAAATGCTCTAATCTTCATAAGTGGCTACACTTAAACCATTGTACCATTGTAATGCCATCCCTTAGAGACATCCCTTAAAGACACGTGGGAAATTCACGCAAACATTGAATATCATCCCAAGAATGATGTATGGCAATCATCGTGAAGTGATTGAACCAATGGTACACTTTATCTCTAGGATTTCTATGGAAGAACTCTGATCAGACTCAAGGATTGGTACCAAGAGCAGGAGGAGCTGTACCATGTGTCATGAATGCTGTCATCAACTGAGTCTGTTGTTCAATTGCAACCACATAACATTGAGCAATTATACCAATTGGTGCTCCAGAGTCAAAGGAGGAAGTTGCTGTTTTGCTATGAAAATGAACAAAAAGGATAAAAAAGCAAAAGAGAAGAAATTGAAAAAACTATAAGGAAAAGGAGATCTAGACAGTGAGAAAGCTAGATCTATAGCAAAATCCCAAATCTAAGCACTCCTCAAAGACAATCAAAGCAACCCCTCACTTCCACCAATATGAGTGCATAGAATATGGAAATGAAATACAAAAATATGTATATATATCAATTAGCCCAAAAACCTTATTATATACAGGAGCAAGTGGTCTGGATTGAAACCAATCTAATGGCTATTAAATGGCTAATTAGTAGATCACACTTATTAACTTAGTAGATCACACTTATTAACATTATCAGTATTTTCTGGATTGGCAACTTTCATTTCCTGGGTGAAAACCTTGGCATCAATAACATTCTGTTGGTGTTATTGCAATAGAAGGTTTGGATATTGAGATGTTTTTAGAAAACAAGGAGTCATGTGAATAGTAAAGGGTCTTTATGTGAATAAGTCAATAACCCCTTCATCTTTCTTCTGAGAATGTTATTAAGGGGTTCACTTAGCATCAATTCATCTAGTGTTTATTTTCCAAACTCATTATTATAACAAAAGGTCTCTTATTATTTTCTTTGTGTTGGTTGATACCGGCTCAGAGTTTATTTTCTATTGTTCAGTCTGTTGCCACATGTTATCGTTTACATTTGAGTCATGCAGAAGAGCTAATTTTCCCTCTTTATGGCAGCGGCTATACACTTGCTTTTGTATATAAGCTAGGCTTTTTGGGCTAATTGATATGCATATTTCTACTATATTCCATGCAGTCACAATTCTATATTTTATTTCAGAAATAAAAATAAGCATTATAAATATTAAAAGATAAAAATATTATTAAAAACATTTTTACAATAATACTTCTATTTAAAATATTTCAATCTTGAATTATAGAAATCCAAAACTGGAGATGAGGAATTAGACACTAAGAACATAAATGAAAAAATACATATAAACTATTTTATTTTCAAGGTATAATTTATTAATGATTTAGCTATCAAATTAAATAAATAGTTTTTCATAAAAAAATTAAAGTTTTGACAAATTTTTGTAAAGTTGTTGTGAATTAATTTTTCAAGCATGAATTAAAGATATATTAGTGTCTTTAGAAAATCACTTGTATACACTTTACATTCTTACATAATTTTTTGTTAATAATATTATGCTGTATATTTTTTATATTGTCTAAGATTTTAGAATTTTATAAAATAGAGTCAAAAAGATAATTACTACAGTTTAACTTTGTTTTATATATACTCATGTTAATTTAAATACATACAAACTCACTTATTAACTATCATTAGGAAATTATTTTAATAAATATTTTTTTAAAATGTTTATACAAGTTAAAGAACATTTTTTTAAGAAATAAGAAAAATAGACTATTATTTAATATCAACTAAAAAGTAAAAAACTTTTACAAACGAAAAACTTACAATCTTGACATATATATCACATTTGCTCCATCCATTTCCAAGCTTCTAATTATATAAAAAATATAATGATAAGGTCTTTCTAACTTTTAATTTTTTTAAAGAAACTTTTAAATCATAATCTGATCGAGAGGATGAGGGCTAGATTGCTGCTCAGAGACTAGAGATTTACTTGGTAGAGGCCTGGATTGGTGGTTAGAAAGAATTGCACAATATTGCTCATCATTTGCCAGAGAAGATTGACGTATTACATCGCGATTGATGGCTTAGACACAGATAGCTTGTCCCTTTTCTTTTCTTCAGACAGCACTGTGATTTTTCCAAGGAGTTCTGACTGTTCGTCTTGGGTGATCTGGAAACTTATGTTATCAACAAGTAAACTCCAAACTCGCAAATCTGGTTTTAGCAAAAAGAAAAAAGGTTCTACGATCGACTGATGCTTTTGGAGCAGTGGCAGGAATCCCAGTGGCACTAAGCTCCACGGCTTGCTTGACAAGGAATTAAAGCACTAGCGATCATTTTTTTCTTTTTTCCTTTTTTGTTTACAGGGCGCGTCTTTGTTTACTTCCCCATGTCTTTGGGGCCGCCACCTCCAAACTGCTTCATGAGATTTTGGAGGCCGCCGAGGCCGCCCATCTGTTTGAGCATCTGCGGGGGCAGTACTTTGCTCATGTGTTGCGCGTTCATGTTCCTGGCCATGGCGCTCATGTCTCCCTTCTTTGGGATCTTGAGGCCTTTCATCTTGCTCCACAGCTTGGCCAGCCTCTTGTACTCCTCCAGCATCTCCGTCACGTCCCTCACGCTCCGCCCCGATCCCCTCGCCACTCTCATCACCCGCGACGCCTCCGCGAAGAGCTTCGGGTTTGTGCTGTCCAGCTCTGTGTAAGGAAAGTAGAGTCAGGCTTGGAAGAGCGAGCTCTAACTAAAGGCCAACCTGCGCTCGTCATCGAGTCCATCATCGTCATGAACTTTTTGATCTTGGCTTGGCTCTCTTTCTCTCGGCCTTTCGGCATTAGCTCAGAGCTGAAGCCCGGAATCATGGACATTACCTGCGGGAATAGGAAACAACTCAAAACAAACACCAACCGAAGATCTTCCCTTTTACCTGATTGAGAGGTCCCATGCTCATGATGTTCTGAAACTGCTCGTACATAAGCCTCAGTGTAAAATTCCCGTCGGTCAGCTTTTGTATTAGCTCGGGCTGTTGATCCATTGGCACCACCTCTTGTATCCTGTCCATGAAACCAGCCCAGTCCCCCATACCTGTGGAGTTTCTTCACGGTTAGCAAAAGAGGAGCACAAACACAAGAACGTACCGAGTAATCTGCTAACAAAAGGCTTGGTCTCAAACGTCTCGAATTCGTCTATGTGCTCCCCTGTACCTATAAAGATGACTGGACTCTTGGTTGCAGCAACACTGTTGAGGAAAAGTCAAGGAAAAACAAGAGATGATTGCTAGTTCTTTCAAATAGGAAACAAAAGAACTTACGCACTGAGCGCTCCTCCTCCTTTGGCATGGCCATCCATTTTGGTGATGATAACAGCACCGACGGAGGCACTTTGCTTAAATGCTTGAGCTTGATCGAACGCGGCTTGACCGATACTCCCGTCCATTACAAAGATAACCAAGTCTGGGCTCTGTAAATAAAAACCGAGCACTGTCAAGACAGGAAGAGCTCTCGAGGATCTAAACCTCACCGTTGCTGCAGCAACTTGACGCATCTCCTCGAACAAGGCCGCCTCTTGCTTGTGCCGGCCACTCGTATCCACGATGATCAAGTCACACTTCTCCGCCCTGAACGTTTCCAGGCCCTCTTGAGCAATCTTGACAGGATCCGTCTCGGTGTAGCTACAAACAAACGAGTGAGAACTCGAAAGCAAAACGACGAGCACGCGAGGGAAAAACTCACCTTCCATAGAACGGGATATTAGCTTTGGTGGCATTTTGTTTCAGTTGATCGAACGCACCAGCTCGAAACGTATCGGCACAGATCAAAGCGGGCTTGAACCCCTTCTTCTGATAGTGATACGCGTACTTGGTACACGTCGTGGTTTTACCAGATCCTAGGTAGTCACACATCACACACAAAGAGATTAAAAGAGGTTTCGATCGATAGATGGTTGTTACCTTGGAGCCCGACGAACATAATCACACTGGGCTTCCCTTTCTGAGGCGAGAAGGATGGCTTCCCTGGATCGAGCATACTGCAAAGCTCGTTAAACACCGCCTAGAAAACCAAGACAAGAAAGAGAGAATTTCAATCCAGATGATCCAGCAGAAGAAGAAGAATGAATCGATTCTATCGCTTACTTGCTGGATGATCCTTCGCTTGTTGTGGCCGGCAGCCAGATCCTCCAAATTCACGATCTTCTTGATGTTCGTACACATGGTTTGCACCATCTTGAGCTGGACATCGGCCTGGAAGAGCGCGCGCGAGATCTCGTTGAGACACGCCGTCAGTACCTTCTCGTCGATCACCGTGGCATTGGTCATCTCCTGGAGGGCGCGGGAGATGCGCCCTCCCAGCTCCGCGAGCACCATCGCGGCCGATTAGAGAAATCCCAACGAGCGACCTACAAACCCTAGCCTTACTAGCTAGGGATCGTGAAGACGAGCTCCATCCACCGGTGCCGGGCTAGGGAAGATCGTCGATGGCGATCACAAGGAAGCCCACAACACTGGAGAAGATCGATCGTCGGCAGGCAAGCTCTCGAAATATCTGAGATTCTGGATGGAATGGCGGTGGAAACCGCGTCGCTGAGCGCTGCCGCGGCGGTGCGCTTGCTCCACCAGTGCTCCGCCAGGCGCGACTTAGCGCTGGGAAGATCCATCCACCAGATGCTCCTGGCGAAGAACAGGCAGCAAGAATCTGGATTGTCACCGCTCGTCGCCAACACACTGATCGACATGTACGCCAAGTGTGGCAGCGTGGAGGAAGCGCGATGCGTGCTAGAATCCATGGGGAGCAGCGGCAGCACCATTCCAGACGTGGTGTCGTGGACGAGCCTCATCTGGGGCTACTCGCAGCGCGGGCAATGGGATCAAGCGATGGCGCTACTGGGAAGAATGCAGCAAGAGGGAGTAGCGCCCAATAGCTTCACGTTTGGATCCATCCTCAAGGCGTGCAAGGATGTGGAAGCCGGGGCTCGGATCCATCGCTTCCTCCTCCAAGTCCGCCATGGCCAGATCCTCTACCACGACGTTTACGTTGCCACAGCGCTAGTGGGCATGTATGGCTCTTGCGGCCATAGCGCCGCGGCTCGCGAGGTGTTTGACGCCATTCCCAGCGCCACCAAGAACATCGTCACTTGGAGCGCCATGCTGGGTACGTATGCCAGTGCTGCTACTGGCGATCATCCTGGAGGAGATCACTCACTTCCTTCTTCCTTCCCTTCTTCTTGCAGCAATGCTAGCGTGTGGAGGCAACAGGGAATGGAGCTCTTTTGGAGCTTCCTCAACGATGGAAGCCTGAGAGTGGACAAGGTAGTGTTTATCACTGTTCTTGGTCTTTGCAGTAACTTGACGCAAGGATGTTTCTGCCATAGCTGCGCTCTGGAAGCTGGATTTGCTGCTGATCCTGCCGTGTGCCATGCTCTCATTGTCACGTATGGGAGATGCGGTAGCTCTCCTCTCGCACGCCAAGTTTTCTCCGAGATGGTACGTAAAGATGTTGTCTCTTGGACTTCGATGATCAAGGCAGCGGACGCTGACGAGTGCTTGCTGCTCTTCAGGCAAATGCTGCTCGAGGGAGTGGCTCCGAACGAGCTCACGCTTGCGGAGGCTTTGCATTCGTGCTCGCTCGCTCCCGACCTCCCCGCCACCTTTGCTCTCGGCCAATGCGTCCACGCGTGTGCCAGGGAGCTCGGCTACGAGACCGACGTCGTGGTTGGAACTTCGCTGATCAACATGTACGCCAAGTGCGCCGCTCTGCCTCAAGCCGAGGCCATCTTCCATCTCCTGGCGACGAACGCTCGAACGAACTGCGTGTGCTGGACGGCGATGATTACCGCAAATGCCAAGGCAGGGGAATGGAAGCAGGCCATCCGACTCTACAGGCAAATGCAGCTGCAAGGCATCGCTCCCAACAGGGTTTCCTTCATTGCAGCTCTCTCGGCGTGCTCCACGCCCGAGTTTCTGGCCACCGGGAAGCTTGTCCACTCTTGCACTGTGGAGCGGGGGCTGGAGAGTGACACAATGGTGGCGAACGCAGTCGTGAGCATGTATGGCAAGTGTGGAAGCACAGAGGACGCGAGGAAGATGTTTGACGGGATGAAAAGGCGCGACAGTGTCACTTGGAGTGCAATGCTTGCGGCCATCGCGCTGGCCGGGGAGCTAGATAGCCGCGCAAGAAACGAGCAAGCTTTGCTTCTCTTCGCAAGCATGCAGCTCGAAGGGGTGAAACCAACAAAGGTGACGCTTGTTTCGCTTCTAAACTGCTGCTCTGACTTGGCTGCTGGCAGGATGATCCATTCCCGCGTGCTTCTCGATCGCCGGCCCGACGGAGGCGAGCTGGAGGTTGCGCTGTGGAACGCCGTCGTTAACATGTACGCGAGATGTGGATCACTGGACAGCGCTGCTCGCGAGTTCCATGGAGCACAGGCAAGAGATTTCATTTCCTGGAACGGGATGATCACCGCGAGCGCACAGCACTCGCGCTGGAGTGACGCGGTGGCTTACTTCCAAGAGATGCAACAGGAGGGCGTGGATCCGGACGAGGTGACAATGGTAACTCTGCTCTTCGCGTGCAACCATGCCGGATTTGTGGAGCAGGGCTGCAACTACTTTGCGTCGATGAGCAAGGACTATGGGCTGAGCCCGCGACTTGAGCACAGCGCTTGCGTGCTCGACATGCTGGGACGATCGGGGCATGTCGAAGTCGCGCAGGAGATGTTGAAAGACTCGGCTTGCAGCGATCCTGTGCTGTGGACATCGCTGCTTGGATCTTGCAGAGTTCATGGCGATTTGGAGCGCGCAAGAGCGGCGTCCGGCCAAATTCTCGATGTCAATCCCGCGAGTTCTTCCGCTTATGTGGTCTTGTATCAAGCTCAAACCGTGTAAAAATGCAAGCTCGTTTAGGGCAAAAACTCATTTTTAAATTTCGGCCGTCGGATCAATCCGACGGTTGTAAGGTATAGATGCTGGGTTTCTAGGTTTAGGTTTAGGGTTTGGCGGGGAGCTCGGGCGGCAGCAACCATGGTGAGCGATCGGCGCGAGAGAGCTTGGCGATGATGCTAATGGGTGTGTGATCTTGGCAGTCGGGCAAGAAGAGGACCAAGGAGGTGAAAGAGGAGAATGTGACCCTGGGACCGTCGGTGCGCGATGGCGAGCAAGTCTTCGGCGTGGCGCACATCTTCGCCTCCTTCAATGACACCTTTGTGGTGAGGGTTTTGTGGAATCTCTGTTTGCAAGAAACCGCTGAAATCTTTCTTCTTTCGTTACTACTAGCACGTCACCGATCTCTCTGGGAAAGAAACGCTCGCCCGAGTCACAGGTACCAGTGCCTTTCCGAGATCCAAGTGATTGATGGCCTTCGTTTTTCTAGGTGGCATGAAGGTGAAAGCCGACAGGGACGAAGCCTCTCCCTACGCTGCCATGCTCGCAGCCCAGGACGTCGCTGCCAAATGCAAAGTGAGAGAGCTTTCTTCTCGAATCATGTTTTCTTTTCCTTTGTTTTGCGTTCTAACTTGGTGAGCTCGATGTTCCAGGACTTGGGAATCAATGCGCTCCACATCAAGCTACGGGCCACCGGCGGTAACAAAACAAAACAGCCCGGACCCGGCGCACAGTCTGCTCTGCGCGCTCTTGCTCGTTCCGGCATGAAGATCGGCCGAATCGGTACGTGAAAAGAACAAAATTCTCTTGTCACCGGACTGGTACTAAGTTGGATTCAATCTTCCAGAGGATGTGACTCCGATTCCAACTGACAGCACGAGGAGGAAGGGTGGTCGTAGGGGTCGCCGTTTGTAAGGAGCGACTTGATCTCTGTTCTGTTTTTCCAGCTCTGAAGAGTATCTAAAAACTCGTTGAGGTGTCTATTTGGAAAAGTTCTCCTTGCTGCTTGCCTCGCATCTCAACTTCCATTTTCCCTTCTCATACTTCGCAGGATATAAAATTGTTGGTTTGTCTCCGATCATAAAATCGTATGCATAATCCAGAATCTGTTGGCCATGATTCCAAAACTAGGCTAAAACATACAAGGGAAATGAATCATATTCAGGGTTGTGGTCGTAAGTATTCAGAAAGAGGAAGAGGTGTATCCTTTTGAGATCAAGATCCAAGTGATAAACCCTAGGTAGATAAGCCATGATCGGACGGTCACTGGCTCAAATAGTATATATATAGATGCCTCTTCAGCGGGGCTTTGCCACCAAAGATCATCGTGATCCAGAGTCCCTTTCCCTAGGTAGAAGAGCCGCCCAGGATGGACGCTCAGGGCGATGAGATCATGGGCCAGAAGAACAGGATTCCGGAGCAACGTGTCCGACGAGAGCGCTGCCAGCACCATGAGTGACACGGATGTGAGCAATGCTGATGCTACATTGCATCTCAAGGCCCCCAATTCGGCAGATCTTAGTGGCGGTGCTGCTGTTAGTTCTCGACATACTCTGTTTCCCCTAACCACCACTTTATCATTTTCTCCATGTAAATATATAGAAGTCTTGTGTCAACGTCCACATGAATCTCTTGCCTTGGATTAGACTCCAGTCTGTCTATCTACACTCCCACTCAGCTGTGAGAGTGTATAACGCGCATATCTTCACGATGTTTGAAACTTGTCTTTGCTCAAAGCTTTTGTCATAATGTCTGCTGTCATCTGCTTTGTTGAAACATATCTTTGTTGAAACAGGCTAGAACCTGCTCTCAAATAAAATGTACCTTTATCTCGAAGCGTTTGGTGCAGCCATGGAACTTAGGATTCTTCGACAACTCAAGCACACTTCGATTGTCACAAAACAAAGTCACTGGCTGCTACACTGGAACACCAATCTGCTCCAGAAAATCTTTCATCCACTTCGCTTCTTGAGCTGCTGTTGTTGCATCGGCCTCAGTGGATGAAAGTGCCGTGATTGCTTGTCGCTTGCTGCTCCAGCTGACAAGTCCACCTTCCAGGAAGAAAAGATTGTAGATAGCCAGCCTAGAGTCTAATCCAAGGTGGCAAGAGATTCATCTGGACGCTGAAATGAGTGGACACAAGACTTGTATATACTTACATGGAGAAAATGACAAAGTGGTCGTTCGGGAAATAGAGTATTAGGTATCGGAGCAAACGATGATCTCATGGGCAAAACAAGACCACCCAGCGAGCACCAAGGCTACGCGACTCTAGATCGCATGACCGCTCGACTGCAGCAGCAAAAGAGGAAGGGAAAAATCCGTGCTGTAGAAAAGTTCATTCAAGATCAGGGTTGGAGCAAAGCATCACCGATCCCTCTCTTTACAGGCACAGATTTTGAGAATTGGGCGAAAGTGATTTCATTCCTCTTTCTCCGGGACAACTGTCTTCGAGTTGTCCAGGGGACAGAGCTTAAGCGACGAAGACGAATGGCAGGTCAGAAATGATAAGGCAGTCTCCACCATGGGGATTGGCTTGGGAAAATTGCACCACCACCACCTGGATATCACGAAGACTGCAGAAGAGAACTAGACAGCCTTTTGGGGAACCAAGTAGAGATTTCAAAGGTTGAGTTAAAATCTAAACTTTTTGGCTTAAAAATGGCAGCAGCAGCTTTTCTAGGAAGGCTGAAGTCGGTGCTCTCCCAGCTGTCAAGTCTAGGTGAAGCAGTCACCGAGAATGGTAAGCAAGCAGTTCTTCTCAATGCTTTGGTTCGCCCAGAATTCAAATCATTGAAGAGTATGCTCAAGAACTCAATGAAAACCTTCATTGAAATGCAAGCAGCTCTTATCAATGAAAAAAACCAGCTGAAGACCAGACACCCACAGATACAACCACAACCACAGCTTTGTTTGTCAACTCAAAGCAAACAAAGAATTCTCCAGGTAGAGGAGGCAGTGCTAGCAGTTTCAAGGCTGGTGCGAGCAACAGTGCGAGCAGTTTCAGGGCTAGCAATGTTGGAGACAGTAACTCACACGAGCGTAAAGGTGAGTGCAATTATTGTAAGCGGGTTGGATATTACGCCAGAGAATGCCGAGATAGGTTAGTAGGGTGTCCTCGATGATTGGGGGGAAAGAACGCCAAGACTGGCTATATAAACCAGTCAAGAGCTCTCATGGTAAGAGCTATTCCAGAACCTGTGTTTGTTCAGCAGCAGGATCAAGACGTAATCTGGCTGGACATAGCAGCAAATATGCACATGACAGGCAAGCGAGAAGCTTTCCTGAACCTCAGGAAAATTTCTATGGGCAGGCAGGTTGGTTTAGGAGACAAGAGTCTTCTTTCAGTTGTAGCAGTGGGTACAGTTCAAGTAAAGCTGGCCTCAGGAGACCTACGACAGATCAGGAACATGTATTTTGTTCCAGGCTTGGCGTATCATCTTTTCTCAATCGGTGCAGCTTCTGACAACGGTTTTTATTTTATTTTTAACGCCAAGCAGGCTATTATGCGAGACGAGAAGACAGATCAAGCAGTGGCTTATGGACAACGCTATTCTGGACTTTATAAACTCAACGCCACCATGGTTGTTCCAGACAAGCAGTCAGATCGAGCACTCTCAACTCAAGCGAGTAATCTCCAGTTGTGGCATGAGCGTCTAGGCCATGTGCATGAAGACGCCCTCAAAGCAGTGTCCAGAGATCAAGCACGTGCACAAGAATTCGAGTTTACAGGCAAGCTTGAATTTTGTGAGGCTTGTGTGCTAAAACTTTATTCTAAGTAACAACATGTGGCACGCACATCATTTCCAAAGTTTTCAGAATCCAAGAGCAGTCAGCCTCTTGAGCTCGTTCACACAGATGTGTGTGGGCCTCTCCATGTCCAAAGTCATTGTGGAATGAGGTATTTTTTGACATTCATTGATGACTTCTCACGCTACACAGTCGTGAGACTTTTGCCCAAGAAATCTGAAGTTCTTGATCTGGCAAGCAGCTCAAGACTTTACGCAATGACAGAGGTCGCAAGTACAAGTCACGAACTTTTATGAAGCTGTGCAATGAGAGCAGTATCCAGCAGCAGTTTACAGCTCCAGATAGTCCTGCTCAAAATGGAGTTGCTGAAAGAATGAACCGGACTCTTATGGAGAGGAGAGTGCACATAGTATGCTTATTCACGCATATCGTTCTGGGCTGAGGCGATTAATACAGCCACATATATTCGCAATCGAGTGCCTACCCAGCCTCTTGCAGACGTCTTTGGACCGGGAAGCAAGTCAGCTTGAGACATCTACGAGTTTTTAGATAAAAGTTTCTAACAGTCATTGCAGAAAATTGGAGCCGAAGAGCATTCCTTGCATCATGGTTGGCTATTGTCTCGAGACATCGTCTTTACAACATGGCCACCAGATCAATTCTTATCAGCAGAGATGTCAAGTTTGATGAGAAATCTCTTTACAAGCTCCTGAGACTCCATTGATGAAGAGGACGTTTCTAAGGCATCTGGGCCGCAGCAGTCCACGGCCAGCAGCAGCTGCGAGCTCAGCAGCCTCAGCCTCAGCAGCAGGTCGAAGCAGAGCAGCAGCCTCCACTCGAGCCCAGTCCTGTCACACTCGAGCAAGAAGATGAAGCAGTTATGCCATTTGATGACGGCTTCATTTCTCCAGGTTTGTTTGATGAACCAGAGGAGGAGTCTCCACTAGGGCAGCCACAAGCAGATGGCTGCAAGATCTCAGCAAGAAGTCGATCCAATTATTCCTGGGAAACCTTATCAAACTGTCACACGCAGTGGGGGAGTTAGCTATTTATTGCAAGCAACTCACGATGCTCAAAACTCTGACCTCAAATTGCTATCGATGATGGAGCAGCTTCCTCCTGATCCACGCACAGTTTGTGCAACTCTCCAATCACACCATGGAAGGCTGCTATGCAAGAGGAGTACAACTCTTTAATATGTAACAGCGTTTGGGAGTTTGTTTCTCTCCCACCAGGTAGGAAAATTGCCAATACCAAGTGGCTATTCAAGTGCAAATTGGATGCCACTGGAGCAGTGACTTGACATCGAGCTCACTTTGTTATATATCACAGGATTCTACTCTTCCTACATAGCAGCCTTCCACTTTTGGTGATTAGAGAGTTGCATAAACTGTGCATGGTTCAAGAGGAAGCTACTCCATCACTGACAGCAATTTGAGGCAAGAGTCTTGAGCATCATAAGCTGCTAGCAATAAATAGCTAACTCACCCACTGCGTGTCATAGTCTGATAAGGTTAATTGGATTGGTTTCTTGCTGAGATCTTGCAACGATGGGAGTACTAGGCTCTACTTACAGCTGCTCTAGTGAAGACTCCTCCTCTAGTTCATCAAACAAACCTGGAAAAATGAAGCTGTCATCAAATGGTGTAACTGCTTCAACAAGACTGCTTGAGTGGAGGCTGCAGCTCTACTTCGACCTTCTACTGAGCAGAACTTTCCCCAGTTTGTGCCCGCTGTGTCGATCGCCAGAATTGCTGGGCATTGCGAGAGGAGGAGGAGCCGTGGATGAGGGCGATTTCATATGCAACTACAACGAGCTTGCAGCACAATTGTGAGAGGCAATCCAGGCCGAGGAGTACCAGCTGCAATCGTGGCGATGTGGCTCGAGCCTGAAGAATATACTTAAATGCTTGCAATGCCCATTTGCTGCAAATGCAAACTTTAACTTTCATTCATATTGTTTTGTTCTCAAATAGCACCTTTTTTGGGAGTTTTTTCATTGTTGAGCATGCCATCTTTTTTGTTGATGTGTAATGATTTGAGCTGTTTGGAAAACAGCTTAACTTGATCCACCATTTGCTTAACCTCGCCAATACTCCTTCCTGAGTCCTTTGGAATTCTATGTATCTGAGACTCCAACAAACTAGAACTCTCCCTCTCTAGAAATAAACACTTCAGTTAGTAAATAGATCAGAAATAACCTTTGTTCGTCATAGAGTTAGCATGCACATCATTTCCAAAG